TGTTCTAAGCTTTAGTGTAAAATATTTGACACAGATCAAGTTGTATATATAGTACGTCAAACTAAAGTAAAATTTAAGTTTTTTAATCATAACTTCTCTTAATGACTATGGGGAGTTATTTAGAACCTTCTTCGTGTGTCTAGTTTGTACAGTATTTGGTCTACGTTGCATTTTCAAGGATTTATCTCCAGGATTTAAATACTTTTCCTACCTCATCCTTAATCTTTAAACCGTAACCATTCCCTTGAATCAAAATTTTTCACCTTAGATCCTGTTCCAACATTTAAACTGATGTGTACTGTCGTATTGAACGGATTAACCTGTTCAACAGTTATATCACTGAAAAATGAACAGTAAAAAAATGAAAAACATGAGAAAAGTTTTTTAAAATATTTTTTTTTTTAAATACCTGTCTTTAGGATTATTGTGAGCTATATGAATATTATTGCTCTGAGGGTCCTAAAAAATATTTTTCAAAGTTTTAAACTTGTTTAATTTCAAAAATAATTTGAAAGTTTATATTTTCTGAGCTGGGAACATTTGTGTTGCATACAATTTATCCCAATTACGTAATCTTTACATCCACTGCGAGTACTTTTGATTTTCTGCTCAATTTTCTCCAACCAATAAGAGTTATCTCATTGGTTTTGCGCAAATTTTCCGGCTTCTGATTGGCCGCTCGGTTTCTGCAAATGACACTCTGATTGGTTGAATGTTTTACATTTTCATGGATAAAAAATTAAGGTTTAATTAATTTGTAGATTAACAAAAATAGGAAATCAAGCATTGATCTTGATATCCACAAGAGTTTCTAGCTCTGGATTATTTTTATAATTTGAATTAGATTATGCGTTTGATTGCGTCCTTACAAATATATACTGTACAGCGTCCTCAGACCAGTAATAATGTCTTATTGTTTGAAGTATCAGCATCAGATTACAAAAAAAATAAGAGTTTGAGACCTGTACAATGTTGTACCTGTAAAATTTTGTACATGTAAAATGTTTAACCTATACAATGTTGTACCTGTACAATGTTGTACCTATACAATGTTGTACCTGTACAATGTTGTACAGGTACAATGTTGTACCTATACAATGTTGTACCTTTACAATGTTGTACCTGTACAATGTTGTACCTGTACAATGTTGTACCTGTACAATGTTGTACCTATACAATGTTGTACCTTTACAATGTTGTACCTGTACAATGTTGTACCTGTACAGTGTTGTACCCGTACAATGTTGTACCTGTACAATGTTGTACCTGTACAATGTTGTACCTGTACAATGTTTTACCTGTACAATTTTGTAACTGTGTAGTGTTGTACCTGTACAATGTTGCACATGTACAATGTTGTACCTATACAATGGTGTACCTGTACAATGTTATAACTGTACAATGTTGTACCTTTACAATTTTGTAAATGTAAAATGTTTAACCTGTACAATGTTGTACCTGTACAATGGTGTACCTGTACAATGTTGTACATATACAATGTTGTACCTGTACAATGTTGTACCTGTACAATGGTGTACTTGTACGATGTTGTACCTGTACAATGTTGTACCTGTACAATGGTGTACCTGTACAATGGTGTACCTGTACAATGTTATACCTGTACAATGTTGTACCTGTACAATGTTGTACCTGTACAATGTTGTACCTATACAATTTTGTACCTGTACAATGGTGTACCTGTACAATGTTGTACCTGAATGTTATACCTGTACAATGTTGTTCCTGTACAATTTTGTACATGTAAAATGTACCTGTACAATGTTGTACCTGTACAATGTTGTACCTATACAATTTTGTACCTGTACAATGGTGTACCTGTACAATGTTGTACCTGTACAATGGTGTACCTGTACAATGTTGTACCTGTACAATGGTGTACCTGTACAATGTTGTACCTATACAATGTTATACCTGTACAATGTTGTTCCTGTACAATTTTGTACATGTAAAATGTTTAACCTGTACAATGTTGTACCTGTACAATGTTGTATCTGTACACTGTTGTACCTGTACAATGTTCTACCTGTACAATGTTGTACCTGTACAATGTTGTACCTGTTGGACTACGCTGACAACTTCACTCACGGCCTGATCTACACTTAGATCAAGGTCTTCAAAATTCGGGGGCAGACATACAACCTAGATAGATGGAAAGATATATAGAAGAAAAGATTTATAGATGGATAGATATTTATGATGGATAGATAGATTGGGGTAAGGAAGGAAAGTGGAAAGGGGTTTGGAGAGAAAAGGGGGAGGGGATTACGCAATTCGGTCGAAGAAAAACAATAAAATAACCACTAATTAAAGAGTGTGGTTGAATAAAGTCTATTTATGGTTGAGCGCTATATGTACGCTGAAATATTAAGTTTGATAGATGTGCTCCATCAAGCAAACATAATCTTGGTTTGAATACTGCATATTTTATAACAGTGTGGCCTGGCATGGATTTATTATTATGCTCAATATTGTCCTAATAAAAAGATACATGAAAATTAAAATACGGGGAATAGTGCAATTTTACAGTTTTGACGTTTATTGGAAACAGACACACAGTGAAACGAAGTATATAGTATATACATATATAGATTTAAAATAAAAAATTCTTAGCTTTTAAAAAAGATTATTTGGTTTAATGCTTATACAAACATATAACCAGATGGTAAGTGCACTATAGGCTTTGAATGTAAATATATGTAAATTAGCCAGTGTTGCCCAAAATGAATGAGATATTATAGGCGACCTTGTACTATTTGTCTGGACTAGTAAGACGACTTTTAGACTCAATTTATGACTTTGAATACTCCAATATGCATGGGATACAAAAATTGTGCAGTGTGAACAGACCTATTTCACTTAATTTGTGATTTAATAAATTAAAACTATTTGCTTTGCAACTACATCAAATACGCTTAAATATTTATAAGTTTTCTGATTATCACTGTGTAAATGGTAATACCATTTAAAATGTGTAATAGAAAAACAACATTTTATCAATTTTACATGAATTCGATATTGTTATTTTAAGAAAAGTTCAATAAATAGCTTCACCTTAAACTTGTTTAGTATCATTTAAGTTTTCTTAACAAATTTTGTTGTATTACAGGAAGTGTTCGCGAAAAATAATCGCTTTTGATCCCTACTAATCTTATTTATATCTATTATTGCGTCTATAGGGAGAAAATTGTTAAAAACGACTTAAACTGAAGAAAGTAGCGTCCATACAAATTCAGTGAGTTGCAACATTCAACTGGGATCGTAAAATAAACAATTTAATTTCAAACAAATCATTCAGATATTACAACCAATAGTCATCGATTATTTTTCGGAGTATTCGTATATAGTTAATATTTCATAATATTTTTGATTTTTTTTTTAATTATATTCGCTGGCGCTGGATTTTCGAACATTCCTGGAAAATATGAAAATTTCGTCTCATTATCAAAAATCCTCGAAACAGGAATAAATTTGTATGGACGCTATGTTCATCGGTATGAGTCGTTTTTAACAATTTTCTCCTGATAGACGCAACAGATAGAAGTAAGATTAGTATCGATCAGAAGCGCTTATTTTCGCCGTATGCCTATATCCCCTTTCCTTTTTCGCGAACACTCCCTTTAACATTTATTTCTAACATCTACAAAATTTAACCTTGTTGGTTTCTTTATCACATTCACAGTTTTTATTAAATCAAATGATGAATTCCAAAACTATTATTTGAGGTATTTAAATAGCTATAGGTCTCATCCTTTTT